GAAGTAGAGGAGCACGTGTATGGTGAGGGAGACCTGAGGGCGCTGACGCAGGCGAGGGAGGGGCGAGGGTGGGAGGTAGCTCGCCCAGAGAAGAGACTGGTCCACCAGTCAGCCAGGAAGTGGGGCACTGTTGATACCCAGGACGTCCATGAGACGAGTCGCATCCAGGTGAGTGAGAGAGAGAGAGAGAGAGATAACACGAATGGTGGTGATGACTAAGACACCTTGGTATCTTTACTGAGAGGTGTTTGGCATGCAGGGCATCTTTATCAATCTAGTACAGAAGTTTGAGGATGAAGACTTGAAGAGTGGAGCCAGTGGTAGAAGTGGTGAGGTACAGCAGTTGAAGACGTGGCCACATGTGGGCGAGACCCACTAATAAAAGTGGGTCAGGCCCAGAAGGTAGGCCAGAGATTAAGCAATAAAGTTGTAGATAAGGAGAGATGTAGCAGTTGAGGATGTCTCCGTGTTCGTACCTCTGTATCAGATTAATCAAATCCGTTGTGCAAGATATACATCTGTCAGTAAAGGTATCCAGGTTTTTCACAAGTGTCTTATCAACTTGTGGGTTTTATACCACTGATGTAATGATAGTTGTCTGACACAACATAAGTATGTAATCTTGGTACACAGAATCTCTACTATAACTCCATCGCTAATGTCTAACTCTATAAACCTGACCTACTTCCACTAGCCTTAGTGGACGGAGGATCAAGCCTCCACCACTCCTTGCGCTGAATGATTCACGCAGGTTTAGCGTTTATCATAAAGAAATAAAAAACCCAATTATCATATCTCTGTATTACATTAATAAAGGCTACTATGTACGCGAGACAAGTCTCTCAATAAAGATACCCAGGTGCTGCAGTTTGTGAGGCTTGAAATCAAGGACCTGGTGAGGATTGAAGCAGTGCAAATGAGTTCTAAAACTCACAGGCCAGTGCGTTAGCCTCTCTAATAAGATTCATCCAACTAGGAATATTTCTACACAGCATAGGGAGGTTATCATGGGCCACCACTGTGACCACAAATACAGATTTTTACAGATGAATCCCACACCACCATGGCTGTGGCGTGCTCTAGTTCAAGTTCCTTCAAAGCCGCGGATATGAAAAACCTGTATTTGTGGTCACAGTTGTGGCCCATGATAACCTCCCTATGGCGCATAGAAATATACCTAGTTGGATGAACTGTTTAGTAAGTTCATTTAGGCACAGGTACACTTAAATACAATTATACATAATGTAAATTAACTAGGATAACCACAAAAAAAGTAATAAACAGAATCATAGACAGTTGGAGCCTCCCGTCACATTCTTCTGTTTATAGTAAATATGTTCATTCTTATTTAGTTTTAGTTTCCTTAAAGGAGAAACTAATAGTTAATGAACCAAGGAGCTAAAAATTTAAAGACAAAGTGACTCATAAATGGTCCAAGTCGGACCGAAACGTCTGTCACAATGTTGTGTGTGCGAGTTATTTGTGTGTTGAAGAAACTAAAGCAGCGATGGAGCTCGGCGCTTATATACTGGCGCAGGTGTACGACTTGCAGCAGGTGTACGACTTGCAGCAGGTGTACGACTTGCAGCAGGTGTACGACTTGCAGCAGGTGTACGACTTGCAGCAGGTGTACGACTTGCAGCAGGTGTACGACTTGCAGCGGGTGAAGGCAGTGTCACTGGTAGGCTGAGGGACTGATTACCTCATCTTTTGTATATAATTCTTCACATTGTGTCCTTGTATTGATGAAGCCGCTGGTTGGCGAAACGTCTACAAATAAAGATACCCACATGTTGCACATGTGTCTAATTCTTCATCTTGTCGGAAATGGATACAGTTTATGTACAGTTATTTGTGTATTGTTCCAGTCACGATATTGTGACTTCTCGTTCTTTCAAGTAACTTATTTCGGTTGGTGACGCTGCAGGATGGTCATGTGGTGACGGAGACGGAGAAGACCACTCAGCACGAGGACTACGAAAACGAGTCAGTGCCAGACTCTGGGTCGTCCCTCAGTGACGGCTCCGTGCACGAGGAAGCGCACGAGACCCACCACAACATCGTGCACACGAAGGACGAGGACCTGGTTGAGTATTACGGCGTGCCCCGTGGCGCCACTCTCGCCCAGGGTGTCAAGGTCAGCACCGGGTAGCTTGTTGGTAGCCAGTGTAGCACAGGGGTAGCCAGGGTAGCAAGGGGCAGCTTCATAGTAGCCACGGTAGCACACTTAGTTTTTTAGGTCAGCACTGGTAGCTCACTAGCTCACTGGTAGATCACTAGAACACTGATGGATCACTAGTAGATCACTAGACCACTTATAGATTATTAGACCACTGGTAGGTTACTAGAGACCACTGGTAGATCACTAGACCACTGGTAGGTCACTAGACCACTGGTAGATCACTAGACCACTGTTAGACAACTAGACCACTGGTGGATCACTAGACCACTGGTAGATAAATAGACCACTGGTAGATCACTAGATTGCTGGTAGATCACTAGAGACCACTGGTAGATCACTAGATACCACTGGTAGATCACTAGACCACTGGTAGATCACTAGATTACTGGTAGATCACTAGAGACTACTGGTAGATCACTAGATACCACTGGTAGATCACTAGATACCACTGGTAGATATCTAGATCACTAAATTACTGATAGATCACTAGAGACCACTGGTAGATCACTAGAGACCACTAGTAGATCACTAGATACCACTGGTAGATCACTAGGCCACTGGTAGATCACTAGATTACTGATAGATCACTAGAGATCACTGGAGACCACTGGTAGATCACTAGACCACTGGTAGGTCACTAGACCACTGGTAGATCACTAGACCACTGGTAGACAACTAGACCACTGGTGGATCACTAGACCACTGGTAGATAAATAGACCACTGGTAGATCACTAGATTGCTGGTAGATCACTAGACCACTGGTAGATCACTAGAGATCACTGGTAGATCACTAGAGATCACTGATAGATCACTAGAAATCACTGGTAGATCACTATAGATCACTGGTAGATCACTAGAGATCACTGGTAGATCACTAGAGATCACTGACAGATCCCTAGAGATCACTGATAGATCACTAGAGATCACTGGTAGATCACTAGAGATCACTGGTAGATCACTAGAGATCACTGGTAGATCACTAGAGATCACTGGTAGATCACTAGAGATCACTGATAGATCACTAGAGATCACTGATAGATCACTAGAGATCACTGGTAGATCACTAGAGATCACCGATAGATCACTAGAGATCACTGATAGATCACTAGAGATCACTGATAGATCACTAGAGATCACTGATAGATCACTAGAGATCACTGATAGATCACTAGAGATCACTGGTAGATCACTGGTAGATCACTAGAGATCACTGATAGATCACTAGAGATCACTGATAGATCACTAGAGATCACTGATAGATCACTAGAGATTACTGATAGATCACTAGAGATCACTGATAGATCACTAGAGATCACTGGTAGATCACTAGAGATCACTGATAGATCACTAGAGATCACTGATAGATCACTAGAGATCACTGATAGATCACTAGAGATCACTGGTAGATCACTAGAGATCACTGGTAAATCATTAAATTAGAGATACACTACCTAGTTAATCTTGCTATCTCTCAGTTTCTACTTATACGCCTTTGTTTACCTTTCTATTTTGGAAAGTTGCTTTTGTAACTGTTAATTTTCATTTGTTTATAAACTTACTTATGTTAAAAGTTTTTCTTTGAGTCATTGACACAGTTATTACTGGTTTTATTTAATTAGAATAATGACGTACTGACAGTATAATTTCCAATTGTTCCTCCTCTCTGAGGAGAAGAGGAGGGTTGTAAAAGCATTGTATCTGTTCAGCGATTATGGACAGAGGATCGAGCCTACATCACTTCTTGTGGGAATCGCTAAACACGGGTTTATCGCTTCCCATAATAACAACAACAACGATAATAATAATAATAATAATAATAATAATATATAGGCAAAGAAAACGAAGTACTGGGAGTCCTGCAGTTCACCAACCCTAGGTTACACTTATCCACACTTACAAACGCTACCCCCAGTTCTTACATCCACATTTACAAGCACTCTAGGGTGCACACATTCACATTTACAAACATTTTAGGGCGCACACATCCTCCAAATCACCCCTCCGTGCACACATCCCCACTTAACAAACATCCCAGGGTGCACACATCCACACTTAACAAACATCCCAGGGTGCACACATCCTCACAAACATCCCAGGGCAGAGATCCACACAAACATCCCAGAGTACACACATCCACACAGAACAGCTCAGGATGCACACATCCACACTTCCAGTCGGCTGGTTTGTGAACTAGTTACAGTATTCTAGTTATTGAACTTCGTAACCAATGTGCGAAGCATTGCTAACAACACTTGTAAGTTGAAACTTAGAAATGCGACCAGTTGGTTAGTTGGGAACCTGTATCAGGATATGTGTACTATGTTTATAAGTTAAAGTACGGTACTGAATTAGGTGTCCCGTAGTTCGAGTGCTAGCACACTCAGCTCATACACTGAGGTCCGGGGGTCGATCCCCAGTACGGGTGGAAACATTAGGACGTGTTTCCTGAAGACACCTGCTATTCATGTTCACCTATCAGTAAAATAGGTACTTGGGTGTTAGTCGACTGATGTGGGTCGCATCATGGGACAAAATTGACCTAATTTGCCTGAAATGCTCTGCATAACAAGGGGATTTCTGTAAAGTAGTATGTCATTGATGTCAGCTAGGACTGTATACCTTGTACATGTACTTGTAGAAATGAAGATTATTGTTATTATTATTATTGTCGTTGTATTAGGTCAGCACGGGGGTAGCATCTTAGTGGGCAGGTCAGCACTGTGTATCTAAATCTGTGTTGGTCATATAACTGGCGAGGAAGGTAATTAGGTTCGTTTCAGTGCCCTGAACGAAGAACCCTTTATCATTCTACGGTGTACTAAAGCCTTTATGTATTCTGCAGCTTGGTGAGGGGATGCATGTGGTGAGTGAGGACTTCCACGAGGACCGGGAAGGGGAGGAGCTCGATTCCCTCAGTGAGAGACTTCGCCGTGCTCGCCGCCTGGGAGCCATCAAACCCAAGCCACGAGACACGCCAGAGCGCACGGACGCCCTCACTCGCCGACCCCTCGACTACCATCAAGAGGAGGAAACCCGCAAGTCAGAGACCAACCGCTGGCTTGAGAACCACTTTGGAAGTGAATCTGGACGCTCAGGCAGCTCCCACCACGAACCTGAGGAGGCAAGTGGCGTACATACTGCCGGCGGTAACGTTATCACCATCACCATGAGTCCCCGCCCAGCCACCCCTGAGGACATGCCCGATGCCCCTCCCCCACCCATACACCGATGGCCTGCATCTTCGTCACTCTCACAGAACCATTCACTGGCGTCTAAAGCGCCGCCACCGCCACAGCCGCCTAAACCAGCTGCGGCTTGGACGCCGTCGCCACCAGCACCGTCACATCAGCAACCAGCGCCACACAATGGCGAGGAAATAACTGACACCATGATCGCTGCTGCTCGAGCCAGGCTGCGCTCTACTGGGCGCATCCTCGATGACAGTGACCAAGGCAATCCGCCCCTCAGTCCACCCTCCACTAATGGGACTAGATTCACAAGTTTACAGGATCGGGTGCATGTGCAAGCATCTTCTGCAGGAACGTTCAGCTCACCCCCAGTCTCTCCCACAGGAATTAGTCGTCCTGATGACCCAGTGTATGGTAGCAGGTTCAGATCTGGCAGCCCCAGTGGGCCTTCTCGTTTATTTTCCACACACAACAGAAGCTATAGACCAGCAGCACCGTCTCCCCCAGAGAGCCCTCCACCGCCCGTTCCAGTCACACCACCACCACCTCCAATCAATGTCAACAGGTCACAGTCATTCAATACAGCCAACAAGAGTTGGATGAATAGTAATTTAAAGACATCTTCATCTCGTCTTATGGACTCGAGGCTGAAGGAGTACCGCAGTGAGGAACAGCTTGACACTGTGGGTCACAAACCATACACTCGCTGGTCCACTACACACAGAGAAATTTCACCTGAACCCTCGAGGGAACTCACTCCTCCACCTCCTCCACGACAACGCACCTCTCACACACCTCAGTCAAAGTACACGCACTATAATACTGCACCTACCAGGTCTTCCAGGTCCTCTAAGACCTCCGAGTTTGCAACACAAACAGTTGCTCGGGATTCAGGCACACAGACTGACCCATCCCCAGTACCACCACCACGTACCAAGAAAAAGAACAGGCCTAAAACTTACTATTTTGGGCAGGATTCTTCCTCATCGACATCTTCCTCAAACAGAGTAACGAAAACTCCCACTAATGCAGCCACAAACACTGTATCTTACACTAACACAAATAAGCAGAACCAGTCGTCGCCCAAAGTAGAAAGAAGGTTCCGCACTACAAAAACCATCACGCCCGTCATAGTGCCCACCACCAACGCCAGCAGTACAAACCACAACTCAATCTTGAAGAACCGCTCTTGGCATTACCGTAGCATGGACGAACTTAGTACTGGCGTGGAGAGCACTCCTAAGGCCTCCTGGACGAACACTGTTGACCCGCGTCGCCGCCCTCGCAACTATAACAAAGCAAAAGAACCAGAGACTAAAACGCTTCCCAAAAAACTGGTGAATGGCACCTTGTCTCCCAGTAAAACGTATATATTTGGTGGTGACAATACCTCAAGTGTGAGTCGTGTACAGCCAGAGTCTTCATCTCACCTCCGAAGATCTCATGGAGGATCTATGGTCAATGTGTCTCTAGCCAGTATGTCTTCTCCAAAGAGCAAAGTTCAAATAGAACAGGAAGATAGGCAATCACCACCCAGAAATATCCGTCCTGTTATCAGGAGTAAAAGTCTAAATGTAAAGCCTGCCCCCCTGAGCACCGTGCCGTCTTCAGTGGGAGTGCCATCAGGCAGTGGCCTTTCTAGCCATCAGCGGACGTCTTCTGTATATAAATCCTCTCCATACCTTAATCTGAGAAGTCCCAACCTCATTGCTACCATCGCCCGTTCAAACTCTACCAGACGAACAACTGAAGACCAGAATGGTGACTATGAGGATGAGGAGTCTCTGCCTCCTGGTGAGCGCTACACTTCTCGCAACACGCCCCACACTGCTGCATATAACAGCCACAACCCACCCACCATGAATGGTCAAGATAACCGAGATGAGGAGAAACGAAATAGATTCATGAAAGGCCTCTTAACATCGGCTCCTGAGCTCTTCCATTTCATCCATGGTGATGAGGTTGATAAGCAAGGAAGTGAGAGTGTGCCCAGTAAAACTCGTCTGTCTCCCAACCCGCCAGAATCTCCTCCACAACTAATTAGACCTCCAGAGTCTCCTGTGACTTCCCCAACGGTCACATCACCGCCAACTTCAGCACCTCGTATCTTTACTTTTGGGCGAGGAGAGACGGGATCTCTGAAGCGTAATCCTACACTGTCGCAGGAGAGTAGCTCTAACAACCGTTTCACCAGTCTAGGAAGGCCCCGGGAGAGCATTACCAGCAACTACCGGGACAACTCCAGCAGCCGTAAGGATGCCACTACCACTAATCATCGCAACAGTCTAAGCTCCCAGTACCATCGTAACGCCCTCCTCAGCAACAATGGAACCACTTCCCTCAATCGGCCAAAATTCAATCTGAAATCTTCCGGAGGATCTTCTATTTTGTATTCTACCTCCTTTCGTAACAGACAAGATCCTGGGCCAGCCTCGCTTACTCGGCGAGGGTCGGACTCCCACGACCCGCCTACCCAGTCGCAGAGATGGAGAGAACAGAATGACAACGCTGTGGCAGGGAAAGCCGGGGAAAAGGTCTCCTCAAATATCACCCGAGACGGCGCTGTTCTCATACCCATAAGAGACTGGAACAGCCGCTGAGGCATTGGTGCTAAAGATAGATGTAGTGTTAATACAAATGACGCGTGAAAATTTCCGTGTCGACCTATCATACCAAACATTTGTAATGGATAGTTTCCTTATACTCTTGACAAGCTTTTGGTTAGATCCAGAATATGTTGAGAAAAAGCTTTTCAAGAAAGAGTATCAGGCAGTAGCTTCAAAAATCTGGTGATAAAATTTCAAGTCATTTCAGTATATACTAGTATCAAGATATTTATTAATATTTACTGTTATATCTGCCACTTTTCTACTTATCACGCTACAGTCACAAAAAAAAAATTAAAACCACTGAAGAGGCTCATAAAAGGTGGGGAGCTCTCCCGGTCTCGCTGTTGTGAGCCGAGGTTGAGCTCCCTGGTGATCCAACCCTGGCTCACCTTCCTGCTGTAGCAGTGATTGTTGAGTGATGTCTCACCTTGCTACAGCAGTGATTAATGTCTCATTTTCTTGCTGTAGCAGTGATTATTAATTAAGTGGCATGTCCATCTCATGTGTCTCACTTTCCTACTGTAGCAGTGATTGTTCAGTGATGTCTCACCTCTGCTGTAGCAGTTATTGTTGAGTAATATGTCTCACCTGTGCTGTAGCAGTGATTGGTGAATGGTGTGGTTCACTTCACCTGGCTAACCTTCTGCTGTAGCAGTGATTGTTCAGTAGTGTGGCCCACATCACTTGTCTCACCCACCTGCTGTATAGTGTAACTTAATAGTGGGAAGCGACCCACCTAGCCTGGTTCACCTACATCTTGCAGCAGTCTGACTTACAATTATTTCTGTTGAAAAACAAAGGACAGTACGAGCGGTAATGATATATATATATATATATATATATATATATATATATATATATATATATATATATATATATATATATATATATATATATCCGTGTGTTTTATAGGTTTCAACGTGCCATAGAGTGAAAAAGAGTTGAGGTGTAGTAGAAGGGAAGTTACTCTGTAGCCTATCAATTGCACCTGGAGCATTGAGGTTGTAGTTCACCTGCACATTAATATCAGGTATACTTGAATCCCTAGTAAAGGGATTAAAGTAATTTCAGTGTGTACACACGGATATAAATCTCGGCATATATACTCTGTGTGATACGCTTTAAGTTTGGGAAGGCCGTAAACTCTACCCTCCAACGCTTTTACTCACACTCAGTATATAATATGCATTCTTTTACTAGCTAATTTATCATCATTTTAATACAATAACTACTTAGAATAGAACTTGACAAGCGTTCAGTACACATATATGTATCATACCTCGACCTTACATTGTAAATGAACCCTACTGGGCTAAAGGCAGCGTAATGATCTAAATCAGGACGACTGCCCATCTTTTGATATACCTTATGCATTGTTTTCTGTCGGTTAATTGTTGTTTTCACTATTCAGTATATAACGTTGTTAATTGTTGGTGCCTGTCTGACCTTTGTTTACTTACAAGTTAAATTAAAACAATACTTAGTTGTAATGAAGAACAGCGTTACGCCAGTTAAACTGTAACATACGGGGCATCAACACATTATGCAATTCAAGAAATATTCTGCCCTCAGAGACTCTCTTTACTGTAAGCTTCCTCACTTCTAACCAAATACTACTGAGGGTTGTATACTCTGGAATATAACTTTTTTTTATTGGCTCTTTTTGCCTTCCGTAACTCAACCATTAATTTTAATTTTTTTTTTTACATTAAGTAATTTACATTTTATTGTAAAGCATTTTCTAAAAAAAATGTTGCATTAGTGCATAATATGTATTTTTGTGTTAATGTAAGCTTAATGTGTATATTTTAAATAATTGTATAGACTATACACAAATTTTATAATAAAAAATGAAAATATTAGACGTTAACAATACATGATGCCATATCGTGAATTTTGCCAAATGTAAAGTGTCATGTGCTATTAATATATAAGCATTATTAGACAGCTTTATTTTCAATATTGTAATTTTAAGGATTTTCATTTTTCACTAAGAATATGTTAAAACGGAAAAATAAAATGAAAATTTGTATATAGAGATGGAGTGTTATGAGTAGCCTGGTTATAGCAATAGCTATGTTGAAATACCAGATTTAATATATGATAAAATAAAACACTGGATAATTAAAAGAGCAAGTCACTGTTTTTTTAAGCTGTGTTACCGGTTTGTGAACAGGTGACTTGAGTGTAAATTTGTAGGTAATAGTTGTAAGAGGATTGGCGTGGTCTAGACGAGGCTTGTGTGGGAAACTTCGTTAAGCTGGTCTAAAGACATGTAATGTAGATCAAGACGTTCAGTATTGAGCTTTATCAAGTCTCTTCATGAAGCTCAATCCTGAACATTGTCTAAAATAAAGAGCTGACCTGCATTACATGTTTATATACCCACTTGTCAACTTGTTTCTCCGTTACGAAATTTATATATATTATATATATATATATATATATATATATATATATATATATATATATATATATATATATATATATATATATATATAATATATATATATAATATATATATAATATATATATATGTATGTATACATACACACAAAACAACCACTGTGAAAAAATAGTGAAAGTTAAAGTGTTTTCGTGACTTCTCACATTATCAAGGAATTATAAAAACAAAACATCAACAGGAAGGCATATAAGGGCAAGACTAGACCTCAAAGTCGCATCACAACACCCGACTCTGAAACACAGCTGATACTCTACCCAAGCATTAAGATTGGCTCTTGAACTAAGATTAAAACAGCATAAATTTAGCATTAGAATTGGATAAGATTCTAATGTTCTGTTTATTCATGCGAGAGATTTTAACCATCCTGTTGGTTTTCAAAAGGCTGAGAAAGTTGTATCAAGCAAGTCCATTGTCGACAAGAATATAATAGAATCTTGTTAAATAAAAAGCAGCTTTGAAAATTATGTGAATATTTCTTTCGGTTTATATTAATTTAATGATACATCAGACAATTAAAAAATCTTAATGCTTGGGCAGAGTATCAGTTGTGTTTCACAGAGTCGGGTGTTGTGACGCGAATGTGAGGTGTAGTCTTACCCTTGTATGCCTTCCTGTTGATGTTTTTTTTATAGCTCCTTGATAATGTGAGAAGTCACGAAAGCGTTTGGACTTTCACTATTTTTTCACAGTGGTTGTTTTGCATATATTGATATCACTTCTTTACTGTGAATTTATTGCATATATATATATATATATATATATATATATATATATATATATATATATATATATATATATATAATATATATATATATATATATATATATATATATATATATATATAGTCGTAATGAAGGGAATATGTGATAGAAAATTAACTTAGTATGGAAAATATTCAACTCACATTGTTTTGAGCACCTACGGGCAGTTGCTCATTTTACAAGCTTGATTAACAAGAATTAGATACGTTCTGACCTACAGGTAATTCAAATATGCATTTTGTTCACGCCAGTTTTGTATCATCCTGTCATTAAATATACACAAACTAAGTTCTTTTTTCATTCCTTTTATAAGACGGAAACTATAGCATCTTCATTATTAGTTGAAATGATGCATAAATATTTGTATTTCTCGACCCAAAACCATAATTATTAGTAGTAGTTGTATTGAGAAACGCTAAACCCATATAAGGTAATTAGGTATGACCCAATTAAGGAGAGGATAGCTAAACAAAATTCCGTCTTGAGCCCATCTTTTCCCACACCCTCTCCATGATAGCGTGTCGGTTCTCAAACACCTGCCCCATGATAGCAAGTGTGCCCCTTCTCAAAACACCTGCCCTATGATAACAAGTGTCTCTTCTCAAACACCTGCCCTATGATAGAAAGTGTCCTATCTCAAACACCTGCACCATGATAGGAAGTGTGTTCTATCAAACACCCGCACCAGCATGACAAGTGTGTTCCTTTCCAAGTTAGCTGTTGTTTTTATGTTGTAAAACATGTAGATCAAGGTAGCCACACAGTATGGTGTCTCAGTTTGATATTAAGTGTTGACAACAACACCTCACATAGACCACGAGGAAGGAAGCAGAAGCTGGTGATGTGGCCCACAGCTCCTTTATGAGACGTGCCATGATTCTGGTGAAAGGTTCTTGATCCAGGAAATTGGAGCTACTCTCCCTTGCCTTGGATGGATTCTGATTGCCGGATGGTTGAACACCCTGTATGTAATAATGTGGCCACTTATTACCCTGGTCATGCTGATGTTCAGGACAATGAGCAGGCAGACTCTACTGCACAATCTGCAGTACACAACCTACCAGTTTCATATAGAGGTATTCCATACTCAGACTATTTTGCTATAATCTCTACCTACCTTTGCAGCCGTTGGCAACTACGTTGGTCTGATGTGACTCAACAAATTACACTGTATCAAACCAAGTTTGGGTTTCTAGCCTTCTTGTCGTCGATACCGAGGTTGGGAGACAACACTCTCTCTTCTTCACATCGGGCACACTCGTCTAACTCATGGGAATCTCATGGAGAGGCGTACTGTTCCACTTTGTGAGAATTGTCTAGCCCCTGTTTCAATATCCCATATTCTATTGGACTGTCCTGTAAATCAACGAGCACGTAGAATTTTTCTCTGACGTCGTCGCCGCTCTAACACCATTACTTGTGTTTCCCTCCTCGCTGACGGCTCCACCTTTGACACAGACTTCCTCTTCGACTTTTTGACAGCAACTTATTACACAAACTTTGATAATCCTTCCTTTAGCACTCCTCACAGCCCCTCCTAACTTTACCTTTACTGTCATCTCCACCCTTATTTATCCTTAGATCTTGCGTCAATTCGTACCCTGCAGCGCTTCCTTTTTATTATAATAATACCCGTACTGGGACTATATTTACCATGAAAATTTAGGATGAAATTATTATTTATTATTATTAAAGATTAGCCAGTATTCTCCCGGCCCGGGCCTTTTCCAAGTGGTGGCCCGGCCTTGGCTCCTTCTTTAAGGAGTGTCTGAGACTTAATTAAGTCTCCCATGGGAGGAGGCACAAGTACCTCCTCATCTTTGGGACCAACTGTCCCCAGGCCTAGCCACAAGCTAGGCCTCTCTGGTCTGCCATCCCCGCCCCAAAGGGGCAAATGGGAATGACAGTCTTATGAGCTAAAGGCTCGGGCTCAGGCACCTACCCTACCCTAGAAGGGCTGGACATGGTGTCGATGTTAGGATGAAATTATTATTAAAGATTAGCCGGTATTCTCCCGGCCCGGGCCTTTTCCAAGTGGTGGCCCGGCCTTGGCTCCCTCTTTAGGGAGTGTCTGAGACCTAAGTCTCCCATGGGAGGAGGCACAAGTACCTCCTCATCTTTGGGACCAACTGTCCCCAGGCCTAGCCACAAGCTAGGCCTCTCTGGTCTGCCATCCCCGCCACAAGGGGGCAAATGGGAATGACAGTCTTATGAGCTAAAGGCTCGGGCTCAGGCACCTACCCTACCCTAGAAGAGTTAGGCATGGTGTCGATGGGATGAAAATAATGTTAAATGTTAAAGATTAGCCGGTATTCTCCCGGCCCGGGCCTTGTCCAAGTGGTGGCCCGGCCTTGGCTCCCTCTTTAGGGAGTGTCTGAGACCTAAGTCTCCCATGGGAGGAGGCACAAGTACCTCCTCATCTTTGGGACCAACTGTCCCCAGGCCTAGCCACAAGCTAGGCCTCTCTGGTCTGCCATCCCCGCCCCAAGGGGGCTAATGGGAATGACAGTCTTATGAGCTAAAGGCTCGGGCACAGGCACCTACCCTACCCTAGAGGGGCTGGGCATGGTGTCGATCGGATGAAAATACTACATTCTCTACTGTTCACGAGAATAC